TCACAGCCCACCTGCTATCGCACCGCATCGCACAAACTCAATCACCATGGCGACAAAGAAGGCTACGAATTGGAAGTTGTGGGGAAAGATGCTGCTTGGGTACGTTGAGACTCTTCAAGGTCTCCAGGGAATGGCGAACTGACAGATGGGCACAGTGGTGGGATCTTTTGCGTGGGCGGCCCGGCCTTCACCATGTGGGTGTCGCCGACGGAAGAGGAGCTCTTCAAGAGATACAACCCCGAGCTACAGGCCAGGAGTCTTGCGAACCGCGAAAAGACGCAGGAGGAGTTTGACCAGTTTGTTACGAAGCTGAAGGAATACTCCAAGTCGAACAAGCCGAGTACGCCAGTCATATCGTGGAATTATGGTTCAGCATGGAGCTAACACAGTCAACAGTCTGGACGGTGCGAGACGAAGATATTGAGAGACAAAAGCAGGCACGCGTGAATGAACAGAGGAGGAGAGAGGCAGATCTCAAGGCACAGCAAGCGGCGATGCGCAAGGAGTCGGGAATGTCGGATGACTTGGACTGATATCCCGCCGCTCTGCGACGGACTGTACTATATCAACGTGGTCTCGGAGGGTCTGGGATTATGCCATGTTTGGCTGTATAACAACGAAAGATACCATGCTGACCTCTGAGGGTTGCTTGCAGGCGTTTGAGGGCTCAAAGATATTTGGATGAAATTGACAGACTACGCGGCAGTAGTGTTGCGTTCTTGGGATGCCCGGGTTGATATCGGCCTGTTGATGGAGACATGATAGCCTGCATCGTGCCAGGAGACATTGATTGTCAGTGACGCAGAGAATTAACCTAGTTCAACACCGCTCGAGGAGGTAAGCCGAAAAGCTCATCACTCAGCTGGCCCCACCTCATTCGGTGAACTTTCGGTGAGGTCCAGAAAAGGAACGTACCTCGGCACAATACTATTTCCGCAAGCGAAGGGAATTCTTGGCACGCACAAAACCTCCATCATTGCATCACCCTTATCATGCAAAGTTGGCAGAGCCGGCTTCAGCCTTATGGTAGATAATTCAACGTGTGACAAACAATAGACGAATCACGGTGAGTAGTTTGCCCACCTCAGTGAAATTTACTTCCCTCGGGCGCTGCACACACGGGTCGGGAAGGGAAAGGAAAGAGGGCGGGGTGGGAATATGCGTGTGGTCGTAGCTCCCGTCCTCGCCTGAGGGGGGTCGGCCGGCCGCTGCCCGCCCGGGTTTTTCCCACCTCCATACCACACATTTTTGCTAATTGCCCTGAGGACGACCGCACAGCACCAGCTTGCTTCCCTTTCCCCCACCCGCAAAACCACCACGCCAAACCGTCCCTCTCCCTCCCCAAACTCGTCAATTTTCGAGCCAATCTGCCCACCATGTCGGACGTCCAGGAACGCCTCAAGAAGCTCGGCGCCTCCGCGCGTATCGGTATGTCTGCGTCAATGTCTTTTGTCTCTATGCTGTCGTAATGCTGTCGGTTTTGAAATTGGTAGCTAATATACGCGATGCGCAGGGTATGTGTGAACCTCCGAAAATTGACCCCTCATTTTTTCCCTACACCCTTTCCCTCACCGAGAACACCGCGAAATATCCAGAAAGAAAGACAAAATTGCCTACAAACACAACTCTCGAACCCGCTCATTCGCGGAATGTTTACAAAGAGGAAATGATGACTAACGTATCGATGCTTCGCCCGACGATAGCGGCAAGGGCACTCCCCGCCGCAAGATGAAGCGTGCGCCCGCGCGCTCCGCCGCCGACGACAAGAAGCTCCAGGCTGCCCTGAAGAAGCTCAACGTCCAGCCCATCCAGGCCATTGAGGAGGTCAACATGTTCAAGTCTGACGGCAACGTCATCCACTTTGCTGCTCCCAAGGGTAAATGACCACCAAGCTATCACCATCACACCGTTCACGTCCTCTTTTCCGATGCACCTCTGTTCCTCCACCAGAGGATAGCTCTTCTACCCTCCCATTCCTCTCTCATCGCACGAAGAAGTACCTAGACGTATACTAAAGATGAAACTCTTCCAGTCCACGCTGCCGTCCCCGCCAACACCTTCGCCATCTACGGCAACGGTGAGGACAAGGAGCTCACCGAGCTCGTCCCCGGCATCCTCAACCAGCTCGGCCCCGACTCCCTCGCCTCGCTCCGCAAGCTCGCCGAGAGCTACCAGAACATGCAGAAGGAGGGCAAGGACGGCGAGGAGGACGACATCCCCGACCTGGTCGAGGGTGAGAACTTTGAGAGCAAGGTCGAGTAAGCGGCGAAATACTTCACAACAGAAGATGAAAGATTTGCCGAAAAAGGATCAAGAAATGAAAAAAAGCTCCCAAACCAAACGGTGCCACCCCTCTGCGACTACCTTTATACTTTTTGTCATGGGAGTTCGAGGGAGAAGAGAGATACTTTTTTGATCGAAACCGTCCTTGGGTTCCGTGGATTGCCTATCATCTATGAACGAGCGTGTGGGTTTTAAGGAATGGGAAAATTAACGAGATACAAACTTGACTTCCAACGCAAAAATCTATCGATACGAAGACGCTCCCAATTTGTTTCCCGGCGGTTGAAATTGTGTGCGTCGTTGTGGATGTGAGACGGTGAGAGGAAGTCAGGCTCCTGGGAGACGCTGAAGACTCACCGTTCATGTCCAAACTGCGCAGTATTGTGGTCTCGACAAGATCAACAATCTATACTCACAGCGTGATGAGATGGTGAGACGATGAAGATGCTAAGAGTGATACAAAATGATTTTCTAATTGCGCCGCACTCGTGTCTTTTAGCATCCATACCACCGTGACGAATTCCATCCTACAACCTCGCAAACTCCTCATCCCCAATATTGACAACCCACCCCGCCAACGCAACCCTCCTCGCAGCCTCCTTGACCTCCCTCCGATAAACAAGCATCTCCCCGCCCTTGACCTTGCCATACGCATCAACATCCAACGCCCGCCGCAGCAACCCCCCAACCTCATCGTCGTCACCACCTTCCGTGGCCACCCGCTCCGCCACCGCCGCCGCGAGCTCCCACATCCTCCGCCTGGAAACCAAGCTCGCGCCCCGGACATCAAATGCCTTCCGCCCCTGCAGCACGCCGCCCATCGTCCCCTCATCAACACCACCACCGCGTGTCCAGGCAGCAGCGAGGTTACTCGCCGCAATCTTATCCGCCCCAGCCTTCCTCCTAACCATCCGTTTCGAGAACTCAAATTCTCTAGACGTGGTCCGCACCTCGAACGGCGAGAACCGGTATCCACCCTTCCAACGCGCCGCTTCATCCACGACGGCCTTCATCCGTCCGCTTGCTGAGAAGGCGCGCTCGCAGCCTGTAGCGGAGTACTCCGATTCCGGGAGGATAGCGGACGAGACGTAGGCGTTGCCTGGGTGGATCAGCAGGGATGCCAGCGAGGCGAGGAGGGAGGTGCACTGTTTGAGCGCGAGCTTGTCGGAGCAGGATTTCGAGGTGGTCGGCGGCGCGTCGCCGCGGGCTGGTTTGCGGCGGACGATGCCTAGGTGGGAGAAGTAGGCTCTTCCTGGGAGGGGGGTTGTGTCTGTTGTTGTCTGGGGAGGTGGCGTAGTAGTCGTGCCGGATGGAGAGGCTGAGGACGGAGGCAGTTCCCAGGGTGAAGCATCTTCTTGGGCGGCCATGGTGAGTTCCATGCTTGCATCGCCGCAGGGGGCTTCGGAGCAGTACATGTGTAGGGTGACGTCGTCTCTGATTGCGAAGGGTTGGGGTGAGGAGGGGGAGATGGCGGAGGGTGGGCGTCTTGTGATGATATCTGAGGTGGGCGAGCTGCCCTGCGAGTGGGTGTCGCATTCGTCCAGGAGATAGCGGTTGAAGGCGCGGATGGCGAGGACTTCGGCATGCCAGTCGTGGAGGGCGTTTCCTTTTGCCAGGGGGAGTTTGCTGGCTGGGAGACACTTCATGCCCGTTCTGTGGTAGGTGTTAGTCAAGTGGTCATTGATGACATTTATGAGATAATGATGTCTGATATTGCTACGTATCGTGGAAGCTACGAGGAGTATTGTCCATATAGAATATCGTGAACTAAGAAAGATGAGATCTAGAGTCTGAAGTATGATGTGCCACATGAATCAACTACAAGTTGTACGACCCGAGATCATCCACACGATAACATACACATGATCATCTTACTTACGCGAGTGAGAGACAAGTTAAGACGCCATCTTTTTCGGCAACAATGCCGCTCAGGGGAACCCATTCATGTAGGCCATTGTCTCTAACCTGGGGCCTGCGTTTTGTAGGTAGCTTCTTGAACCGCCCTAGGACAACATCTGCGATCTCATCGGGGTCGGCTGGCATTTTCAGCGGCCGTGATATTCTCATAAGCGGTCTCGTCACCTTAAGCCAACTTTTCATCACCGGTATCCGTTCGACATTTTCTCTCAAGCAAGAACCTGTGTCGTAGGTGCACATCTCGACTTGAAGCTGAGAGTGGGGCTTCTGGACCAGGCAAGCCACAAATCCACTGCACTCTACCTAATATGTGGCGCAGTTCGAGTCAACCACCTCAATATCGGTAATGGCTATCTCCACGTGACACATGCACCACCAAGCAGACCCACTCTTTCGTCCCGTCCGCGTAGGGTTGACGCCCACTAGGCTATTCTACCCTCCCACGACGAATTTCCGAACCAGAGTCGAAAATTGTAGAATCTCGCGAAGAGTGCCAGCCTGGTCTTACCCTCCCCTTCCCGAACCCTTTGACCTCATCGACAAGTCAGCCAACGTTCGCATTCAATACCGCCAATGTACGTTCAATAGATTACCCCCTCGTCCGGTCGACCCTCGATTTTTTTCCTTCCGACTGCTGGCCTAGCGATTACCCAACAAAACCGCAACGTCACCATTTCCGAAAGACAGCCGCTTTCCACGAACAACTTCGCTGGGCCAGACGAGGAGAAGGAATTGAGGGTCGATTACAGGAGGATCTTCCGAAAATTTTCGAGGAATTGTTTTCTGACTGATTATTCAAGATGCGCACGTACGACGACACGTTCTCCGGACAGAGAATCTACCCTGGAAAGGTACGATGATGACAACGCCACCCATCCTTCCCTATATCTCCGATATCATCTTTCCCCCCAGTCGATCGAAGGAACCTGTTGAAAGCATGGCTGGGCAGTCGGGGAGCTCAACCCCAGATGGAAGAGATGGGACATGAGGGGCAACGAGTTGGATGACCGAGCAAGCCATGGGGCAACGATTGATCGACGGGAAAAGGAAAGATGATTGCAAGGAGACGACTTCACGGAGGAGGCAAAGACATAACACTCTGCATGGGAACAAGACGCTGACGAGACTCTGACTACAGGGTAAGCTCTACGTCCGCGGTGACTCCAAGATCTTCCGTTTCCAGAACGGAAAGTCCGAGTCCCTCTTCCTCCAGCGCAAGAACCCCCGCCGCATTGCCTGGACCGTCCTGTACCGTCGCCAGCACCGCAAGGGTATCTCTGAGGTGAGTGCCAAACCGTCGCGACGATGCCGCATGGTCACGTTCGAGATGTAATATCTCGAACCCCTTCACGCGTCGCGAACCTCGACCTTGTAGAAAGCACATGACTGACCCCCACTACAGGAGGTCGCCAAGAAGCGCACTCGCCGTACCGTCAAGGCCCAGCGTGCCATCGTCGGTGCCTCCCTCGATGTGATCAAGGAGAAGCGCTCCATGCGCCCCGAGGCCCGCTCCGCCGCCCGCGCCGCCGCCATCAAGGAGTCCAAGGACAAGAAGAACGCCGACGCCGCCGCCAAGAAGGCCGAGAAGGCCAAGACCGCCGCCGCCGGTGGCAAGAAGGGCCCCATCGCCTCCAAGCAGGGCTCCAAGGGCGCCGCCCCCAAGGTCCAGGCCCGTACCCGTTAAACAGCTTTTTTTTCTAGTCTCTCGTTGAGGATTGGGGGAAAAAAATTTGGGTTTGCGTGATGGGTTTTTCTTCTCTTGACATGATGAAATAAAAAAAGAGTAAAAACATTTCTCTGTCGAGACGGCGTGAGGCTGGTGTGACATGCGGGAAGCAAAGAACAGAAACGGCCACCGACCAATCCCGGCCGAGGGTTAGGTGTTTTTCTTTCAACCCTCCGGCTGGTGAGGGGGAGACCGTTTTTCGAGAAGGAACGAACGCTTCTGACAACAAACGATTGGTGAAAGGCACAATACGACCAGGTTCAAAAAAAAACTTGATTGGAGTCGAGGGTTCACTGTGCTTTGAAACGGGGACTTTGGGGTTCTATAACTACACAATCTCACGGGTAGCACGGAATTTGCATGGAATTGTCCCAACGGGGGATTCTTACCAACGTTTTTGATCCTCGAATCCCGTACTTTGGTGACTAGTCTTTTTGTGTTTTGTACCATTTGAATGGTGACGTGATTCTTGGGAGGTTGACATGCGTGGGAGACAGTCGCCGAGATCTTAAGAGGCGGATATACTGCAATAGATCCCGGGACTCATCCACGAGCTCAAACCTTCCCGTTCCCTTTCCTGCGTTGTTCCCGGAGCGAAGCTACGAGCCGGAGAAGCATCAAACAAAATGCGCTTCGTAGTGGCTGTCACATCATGTATTCCCCTCAACGGAAGTAGAGGGACAGTAGAACTCCTTTGATCCCCCGGCTTCCCGCGCTCGGAATGAGGACTGAACCTTACTCCACACGATAAACGTTCACAAAGCTCAAAATCCCTTCTCCCATCTTACAGTGACATGCGGGGGAGAGGGTATTTTCAGAATTTGCCGTGCCATCACCAGAACTCGCCCTGCTCGATAAACCGTTTCACACGAAAGGCCGTGAAGAAAACAGCAAATGAGGCGGGAAAAGAAACCACATCTCTCATTGTACAAGACGGCCGTCGACAGACATCCATACCCTCGTCCTCACTCGAGTACATCAAGCCCGCTGGTTAAACTCCAAGTAAACATCATACTCTAGCCTTTCTTTCCAAGAACATATCAAACACACACCTCTGGACATCCATCATCTTTTGGGGTCAAGATACCCCAAGTTTATCCGCATCATGCCTACTATGGAAACGAGCCGCACATGTAACATACATCTGCGTAATAGAGCTTACCCGGTGTAAGTATCCAACAACACCATGACTTGCGTCGGGGGAAAGACAACCATCCCCTCCTCCTGTGGTTCCTTCCCCCCGTCCGTCTCTCTTCGCGGCAATATCGCATCTCCGAGCCCCGCTACCGAGACGAAGTCCGTCTGCTCTACTAGCTCTACCGAAGCATCTAACAGCTCACGTTCCAGTCATCGGATCACGTATTTCAAACTAGGCAGAAACATGGCCAGGTCTCATGAACCATTCAGTTTTTGTCTCTATTCTATAAGCGGAAGAAAGTGGTTTCGTGATCCGAAAACCGCCCCAATCTTCGTCTAACGAAAGTTCAAAATTCTAATATGAGCTTTTGTTCTAAACGCGCGTCGGAAAAAGGTTTCCCTTTCTTTCTCCTCTTTCGTCTATAAAAGAGACCATGTCTTGGGCATTTCTCATCACGTAAAAAAAAGGAACCCGCCCAACGCAAAATTCATTAAATCTTTCAAGTGGCACAAGGTACCAACTCTTTACAGAGCCTTGAGAACGGGCTCGGCGCCAGAGACCTCGAGACCCTGGAGCTCAGTCTCCTTCTCGGCGTAGACGACCTTGCCGTGGTCGATGACGATGGCGTAGCGGGCGGTGCGCTCGCCGTGGTTCCAGCCGATGGAGGTGGAGAAGGCGGCGTTAGCGTCGGAGGCGAAGACCTGGGAAAGCCGGGTTAGTTCATCAATGCTTGTGACGGTGGCTGGTATATTGCGCGATGAAAGATGAGAGAAGACACGAATGCAACTTCGCGGGTGAGGCGATTTGAGCGTATCGTGGTATCATGTTGAGACTCTTTTCCCACCCCCTTGTGGAGGGGCAGAGTGGGGGGTGGGGGGCGGGCGGCGTTTATCGGAGTCGGTGAAGGGGTGAGCTCCACGGAAAGAGGGGGAGGGGTAAAACAACACAACGCAACAACACAGCACAGCACAAGCTAGCTGCTAGCTGGAGAAAACAAGTCGAAAAAGAAAAAGAAAAAAAGGTGCAACAGAAACAGCGAGACAGAAACGGGCAAAACTCACAATGAAGTCGTCCTTGATGTTGTTGGCCTTGCCCCAGCCGGACATGACAAAGGGGTCGTTGTAGGCGAGGAAGATGACCTGGTCGACGCCCTTGGCCTTGAGCTCGTCCTTGTGCTCAATGTAGCCGGGCAGGTGGGAGGCGGAGCAGGTGGGAGTGAAGGCACCGGGGATGGAGACGATGACGACCTTCTTGTCCTTGAACTCTGTTGGGAGACGGGAGCAGTTAGCCAAGAGGATCTTGTGATGCTTCGATTGATAGAGAGAGACTTACCCTTGGCGGTGTCGTACTTGATGGGGATACCGCAGACCTTGAAGTCGGCAGTCTCCTCCTGGTGGGGGATGTACTGGAAGGCAACGCCCTCGGGGAACTGCTCGCCGACCTTGAGACCAGACATTTTGATGATTTGGTGTGGGTTGGTTGAGGAAATTGGTGAAGAAAGAAGTGCGTTGGAGGTTTGAGAGTGGATTGGTAGTAGAGTGGTTTGGTGAAGAATGGAAGGAAAGGGAAAACAAGATCAGATAAAGGAAAGGAAGGTAGGGCGAATTAGTAGGTGGGCGGGATATCGAGGGATCGCCGAGTCAGGGTCCCAGGCGCAATTCTGCGAGCTTCCAGGGAAGTGGAGCTCGTGATGATTTGTATTTGAGATACGGATACTACGCTCCTTAGCCGCGGGGCGGCCACTCCTTCCTGGGACCACCGCCGACCATCTCAGGCACAGGCACGACAGGTAGTCTTTTTGTGACGAATACGGGCATACAAGTGGGCAAGGAAGTGCGGACCACTGGGACCTACCGTTGCACTAACAAGAGGCACTCGACGGTTTGATTTGTCTCGGAACCCTGGAGAGCTGTCTTTCTTGTTTGCCCGCTTTCGCGTTTGGAAGCCATGATGCAAAGTATCTTTTTTCTCTTGCTCAAGGTACAAGGTAAGGTACCAAGTAGATAACGGCAGCATTCAAAGTGACAACAGACAGAATATCCGTATGGGGGAGGTACGAATAGATGACATGTACCTTGAACTCTGATAACACCAGCCAAATGCGCACCTTTTCGGCCCACAGAGTGACATGACGCAAGACCGGGAATTTATGCCGCGTCCGTTTGGGCTCCGATCCCCGGCCTCTCTCCCCCGGTGGGGGGAGGCGAACAAGGGCCCCTCTCGGCCGTCCGAGCATCCAGCCTGTCGGCCTTCTACCAACGTCCTTCGGAGTTACTGTGCCAAGACGTTGTGACTCTGGGAGCCTTTTTGTCATCATGGCGAGGTCCGGGTACTCCAGACCCGGGCGGCGTGACATTTCTGGATGTTGGTGGTCATTGGCGTGCAGATGGTACAAAGTCGGCGAGCATGTGCTTGTCTGGAATTACCTGACTTTCATCGTCTGAAGAACCAGCTGCCTGTACTCAGTAAAGTCAATCCTGCGGTACCTGGTTCACACAACGACAGACCGCAACTGCAGCCAGCGCGGCTCTGTGTGATGAGGCAGAAGTTGCGCCGGCGTCGGCCGTTGCTTGTTGCTGTAGCGCTCACTCCGCAAGCCATCCGAAGTTTGAAAGACTCATCATGCTCAGGCTAGATTGGAATTTCTCAACTAGAGCTGAAAGGTTGAAAATCAATTTTTTTGCGCCTCATCTGACGTCGCTTCGTAAGAGCAGAACCCGCGGTGTTTGCCAAGGGCGCTGATGACAGCTGACAAAGGCCGAACCCCCGGCAGCCTGTGCCTGTGATTGGTTGCATCGTCCGGTGCTTATGTCTTCTTCCAGCATGATTGACATGTTCAAAACTGCTGTCTTTGCCATGGCGATAGCTCCATGACTTTAGGCATCATCACTTGGAAAGATCGCATTGCTTGAATCATGACCAGCCAAGACGAAGCCAGACCACCGTTCCCACCCTTCACCGAGGAAACCGCGAGGATCAAGGTGAAGGCGGCCCAGGATGGATGGAACTCCAAGTCCGTGCCCCTCAGCAACCGAAGCAGACGCCCACTGACATCGCCGCAGAAACCCCGCAAAAGTGAAGATGGCTTACACGCCCGACTCCATCTGGCGCAACAGAGACACTTTTCTCCAGGGTCGAGATGAGATTGAGCAATGGCTCACCAAGAAGTGGGAGAAGGAGAATGGCTACCGACTGCGCAAGGAGTTGTTCGCCTTCACCGATAACAAGGTAAGCTCCCCAGAGTCACCGTTGACCCCGCAGCTGTGGCTGCGCTTTTGAGAGATCACTGACCATTGGAACAAGATTGCCGTCCAATTCTGGTATGAGTGGCATGATGAGTCGGGACAATGGTGGCGGACGTATGGTCTCGAGGATTGGACCTTTGCTGAGAACGGGCTTATGCGCAAGAGACAGATGAGCGGGAACGATGTCAAAATTGAAGACACAGAGAGGTGGTTCCGGGATGGCGTTGATGTGAATACCGTTGATATCTCTGAGAGGCACTGGTAAAATCTGTCCTCTGTGCCAAGACATTGTCAGAACTGCAAAGATCCGAATCCTTCCCGTAGATTAGGTAGTAGGGCACGACTTCCAATGATTCGTAGTATGGCTCGTGTTCCTGGCGGCAGGGTTTTTGTCTCGAAGTAATGAGTCCGGAATCCTCTCTGCTGACACCTGTGCGTCTGTCGGATAAATTGGAAATCACTGTCGAAAATGCGCCGCCATGTCTTGAGATTTGGGGAAATGTTATCAATCGGATGAGGAACGAGACAGGCACATATCTTTTCAAGACATTCCATAGAAGGCCAATGTTCGAAATACCAAAAACAGGCGTAAATATGACTAGCAAGCCGCCCACGAGGAATTCGCGAGTTCTCCACGAGGCGGGAAGTGTGAGTGACTGCCCCCTCTGATCCTGGGAGCTAAGCACCTACACACCTTGGTCAAGATCCTTAGGCCAGCACATGGGCGGCACGCTCCTGACTCTCATGGAATACATCTTGCCAGCGAAGATAGGAAGGTGAGTTGTGCCATGGTCCACGCTAGAGAACTTTCTTGGTTTCGAGTAGAAAGACGTAGGGAAGACTTAGCGTCGTGTGGTCCAGGTCGCCAAGCGCATGACAGGAGCTTGACGCCACGATCCAAAGAGGCGGTTATGGAGACCAGAGAGACGATGCGAGAGCTAGGGGAAGGGAGAGGCTCCTGCGCGAGGACGAGATGATGGCAATTAGCAAAGCATCAACCTCGGCCGACGGTTCGCGTTGTTATATGAGATTGCCCGAATCTGTCATCGTTCCAATCAAGGCTTTTGAGGATAGGTACCAAGAAATGTAGCTTTGCCAGAAGCCAAACAAGAAGAGCAGAGACGAAGGGCTGTGACGAAAACCATCAGCTTGCATATGATCACGCCGCGTTCAGAGCAGTCACAGATACACACAATGGTCATTTTGCGGCACGATAGGCGAGCCAATACCTTATACAGAACGCAGCTGGAAACATGCCCGGCGATCTGTTCCTCTCGGGCCGGAAGCAGCGTCGCAATCGGGTAACGTGTGACGTTTGGCTCGGCACAGGGGTTCTGGCCGCCCATTGGGCCGTCCGTCCCGCTGGAGGGGGGTCGCTTCGAGATGACTGCAATGATTTGCACCAGGGGTATTTTCAGCTTTGTGACCTGAATGGAATGCTATCTTGTCCTCTGCATCGACAGCTGCTGCAGTGCGACAGTGCGAAGGTGAGGTTGGAGTAAGATGTGGTCTTTGCCAATGTTACAGGCGGCCGATTCGCAAAGTAGAGCTACTGAAAGCTGGCTCGATCGGATAGGTGGTTCATCGACGCTACACAGAAAAGGCGCTGCTCGGAAGACGGTTGGCACAAATCTGGGAGGGGGGATGGACGCACAAAGACTGACCTCGGGGCGATGGTTAGGTACGGCGACCATGTCACCATGGTCGGCGACACTAGCGAGACCGAATAAGCCGAGGTAGTCTACTAAGGCTTTTGGTGATTTGGTGCGACAGGCTGGATATGGGGTTTTCTCAGGCTGGCTGGACTTGTCTAGCTGGTGGGTGACGGTGGGTGAAAGTGAGGAGCTAGGATAAGGTGGTGGTTGAGTGGTTGTTTGATTGGCCGTTGGTGTAAGCAGGGATAGATTTATCGATTAGCGAGAAGACATGATCAAGGCGCCCCTTCAAACTCTTCTTCACATTCTTCGCAGGGATGGTTTGAAGAGGCTAGTCGTCTCGTTACTGCTTCTAGCCTGACCGATCTGGTTCGCTGAGGAGAGCCTTGACACTATGACTAGATACCTGGCATGAGGACCAGGCAGGGGAGTATTAGCATGAGATGATAATGTGGCAAAAAGCAAATGCTGTTTGGGGCTGGTTGAAGGTGGCCGACCTTGGTGGAGAGGATTCGTGTAAGTAATCTCGTCTGATCTTTGAGTTGTCTGTCGTTGCAGTCGTCTGATGAAATTTGGGAAGAAAAGGAATTCAGGCGGACCTATTACATAAATCGAACGCTCAAACTCAATTCTCCGGGTAAGGTTCCCTGCCTTACAAATGGAAGTCGTTTCTTGAGAGTCATATGGCAGGTGCGAACAAGGTACGAATAGTAGAGAGAGGGGAGGAAACATCGTCAATCGATCTCGGGGAAGGAACGCGCACAGACCGTCGTTCAGGAGACCCTGCCAGTACTTTAGGTACCTTCTGGCCTACCTTAGTACCTCAGTAGTACAGAGGAATAGGTACCTTCACCACCACCAACCCCTTGCCTCTATTTTTTCTCCCCCTTCCACCTGGGCAGCATGTTTGTCTTTCTTTTTCTCATCTTCTTCTTCTCTCTTCCCCCGGTCAGATGGGGATACCTACGTACGGATACTTCCCATCAAGCACGCCAGGCACGCCTCTCTCAGCAATCCCGCGCTTGTGTCGTAGCTCCACCGTCTGTTCACAGCCTGCCCTACGCCGGATCAATATCTCCTGAGCGCCGTTAGGCGACTGGCATACCTAGACCCAAAGTCAAACTCGACTTGGACCACGTTACGTTACCTACTAGCACCTTTCGTGATCCGACTTGACGGGCTTTGGGGATGGGGACTGATGGACTACAGTCTCCTCAGTCCGGAAGCCTTGACCTCATCCGTTGATAGACTCAGCGCCATGAAGAACAAAGGGAGTCCTGCCTCGGCCTCTCGGACCCGGAGCTCTTCTCCGTCCACCACCAGACGACGATGGCAAGTCTGGAGGCTTGATGTGGGAGGCGCCGCCTGCTCTCGTCATGGTCCACCTCCTTACGGCCGCCTCCTACGCCTCTGTGCCCCGGGCCCGGTCCCCTGGAGAAAAGAGAGGAACGAGTCCTAAGGATTCGCGCGAGCCTCGCTTGACCTCGAACCAACTTCTGATGCTGACTATTGTCCTGTCAGGTTGTTGCTGCAACAACTTGAGGTGAAAGCAGCACCCGATAAATATTCGAGGGGTTTCACTCGCCTTCCAAAGACATCACTAATCATTGTCACGCCGGTTTGAAAAATTTCCAGGCCTTTGGGTGTCTTCTCCACGCTCTCCTCTTGCCGATCTCCTGCAATCTCCCACATAAAAGGTATCCGTACCTATTACCAGCCAATTCCGCACTCTGCAGAGTCGATTTTCCCCAAGCAGGGAAGACAAGCCCAGCTGTGAACTGTCTCAGCCGAACAGACGCTCCTTACTCGTTCAGGAAAGCCTCGATGCTAGTGCCGGGCCACTCCACCAATCGCCACGATGCTGCAAGAGATCGACAGTGATTTCGCTGCTTCGGGAGCTTCGTCACTTATGGCTTCGAAGCAGGTCTGCAATGGGAGAATGGGCGTTCTTGAGGCGCCCGGTCACTTGGTCACCTCGTTGCACTGCTTTTGGCTCACTCAGTCCTCGTTTGTCTTGTCACCATAGCATAGCAGAGATGTTTGGGCCTTCGCCTCGCAAACGCAAACGCAAAGCGCTGTGATTCTTCGTATTGTCCAAAACAATGGCCACAACAACGCGAGGCGTGCCAGGTAAGCAAGGGCTCGCTGCGTAAACTTTGAAAATCAACGATGCGGTTGCTAGCGCCGTTCTTGCTTCTTCTCCTTCATACCCACATGCATCCACGGCCAGGGCCATGTCTCTCAATGTTCTACTATCTCATGCTGCATACAGAAAATCAGAAATGAAGATACATGCCTACTCCGTACTGCACGGTACATCGCCTCCACCCTCACGCGGGTGCGCTATTCCTTCTGCGTCGTCCTCCATGCCTGCCAAGCGTGCCCTCAATATCAGCATCACCAAGCAAGTCCGAGAAGAAAGCACATCCCTACACACCATGTCGTTCCCACCCGTCCGCATTCCGCCAGGAAACAACAAACGTCTGGACGCCTCACCCATCCCAATTCCCAGTGTCCCACAGGGACCCCGGCTACAGGTCGATTTCGCGCTTTCTGGATGGGCCCAGCTTCAGCCCTCTCCGTCAACGGAAGCCAGCCATGGCCAAATAAAGTAGTCTTTCCGTCGAAATGTGTGTGGGGCTGGCCATCGTCCTGGCCCTCCCCAGCAGCCCTCGACTCTCCTCAACTCTCGAGATATCTGGGCATGGGTTCACAGGCACGCCTACGCCTACACCTGCTTTTCTTCTCTCACTGCTATATCAGTCGTCTTGTGCCCTCGACCGTTTCCCCCGTTCCTTCATCTCCCATCTTAGTTGTGTTCTTCGCTACTCCCAACCCCTTCTACCCCTCCCGCAAGGCGAGCACTATTCTTCATTGTGCAGTAGCTTGTAGTTCGTTCCAACCCTACCTTGAGCCCAACACTACTCTCTTTCCCTCAACTTTGTCCGGTCTTACCCGTGGAACGTCATTCCTGGACCTGGATACTACAAGTTAAAGGCGGTCTCTTTCGATCAAAGGTTTCTGGACATTCACTCACACTCACTGTCCTACACCCTAGAACCTAAGACCACCTATTTCATTCGCTTCTCCACCTACTACCAACCAGACTGCGACATTTCGTGTCACTTCTATCAAATATCCAACTATGGGTCTTCTACCTCTCACCTACCGCCGACCGGTATACGTCAGCAACACCAGCTCAGCTCGCGGGAGCACTTCAGATGTATCTGACAGTGGCAATGAAAAGCAGAGCAATACCTCCTCATCCTTGCGCTCCGGCAATTCTGGAAAACTGCAGGGCATCCCAGAGTCGCTCACTTTTGACAAGATTATCAACGGTGGCACATGTCCTGTAGGTTGCCTCTCATGACTTTGATACTGTCCAAAGTATTGACTTGATAGCCTTGTACCGTGCGTGACTTCATGAACTACCTGATATATATTGAGCATGCGGCAGAAAACCTTCAATTCTTCCTCTGGCACCGGGACTTCCAGAAGCGTTTTGGGGAAGCAAAGACGTCTGACATGTCTCTCGCTCCCGAGTGGACCGAAACCATGGAGACTGATCTGCTTCAACGCATGAACAAGGAAAAGTCACAGAGGATGCGCAAGAAGCCCGGCCAAGAGATATTCAAGGGAACCGATTTCGAGAAGAAGGGTGCCACGAGCGGCATCGTGCAAGATTCCAACAACCCTTTCCACACCCCTCCACGCACCCCAAACGACTACGAAGGCTCAGTCTACACGGGGTCTCAAGGCGTGTCGAATGCCGATTCGTACCGCTCTCAGGCCAGTGATGCATTCGCGGCCGTGGGTGCCAAGCAGCCTTGTAAGTTGTCAGACTCGAGGGCTTCAAGGCATTTGCTGACTGGATCTAGTCACCATACAACCATTCCGTGAAGAGATTGATCGTGTTATCGCCACGTACATTATGGAGGGTGCGCCGCGACAGCTCAATCTCTCGGCCAAGGAACGTGACGCCACTCTTCACGCCCTTGCGTACACTACCCATCCTACAGCCTGCCGCTTGGCCATCAAAGTAGTTGAGAACTCTCTCCGCCAGCAGGCTCACCCCAACTTCATTCGTTGGTCCATCTGCAACGGTAACCCCGCTCGCGTCTTCTTCGCCCGGGCTCTCGGCGTTGGTCTCATTGCTATCGCCTTTGTCGTCGCCATCTTGATTACTCTCAGCCGTGCGGGCCGCGGATGGCGAGCACTGGCTGCCATTGGATGGGTTTTGGGCATTTCCACCTTGGTCGCAGCCTACAAGGGTATGTGCGTTGTCCTCCACGGTATGCACCATCGTCACGTTCGTCCCTGGGAGCTCTTCGTGGACGAGGAGAATGACGACCGCAAGACTTCCTTCGACACGTTTGGATCTAACAACAGCTACGAGTCGGAGCCTTGGGTCATCAAGTATGAGAAGCGCAACATTGTCCGCAAGATCTTCGACCGCGAGGTGTGGATTGAGGAGCCTGCTCTACGCACCATCCAGGACACCATCTTCCTTCAGGCAATGCTCTGTGCCGTTCTCGTTGGCGGTGTCCTCACCGCCATCTTTGTTGCCATCCCAAAGCACGGGTACTTTTGAGTGTGTCTTTGTCTGATACAGACAGCTGGGATAGCTTGTATCGCAAAGCTTCTGTTTGTTGGTGGCCGTAATAGGTGTAATTGAGTATGTGAAGGATGCTTGGAACGGACGATGAGAACCAAAATACCATTTTGCTTGGGCGCGGCGTATACGGTGGAGGGATCATGTTTTGTCGTATGGCTTTGTATATCAAGACATGGAAATTTATATACCAGATTCAGCTCCAATGACGCGATGTGAAGAAAGTTTGCCCCTCACGTGTATACGTCAGCAGGGCAAGTCTTTCAGCCGGGTACAAAGCTCAACTATCTGGTATTGAGTTGCGTGCCATCGAAAGTTCATAGGATACAGATGACAGGGCGATTTCTACTACCTTGATCTAGACGAGTCACTCCATGTTATGGTATCACTTGAGCTCACTTGCATTTGTTTAACTCGTGCTATCGACTGAGGGGGTTTCATTACCTCGCCTGCAACAAGCCTGAATCAACGACCGGAAGGCTCTCCTCTTGTGATCATGTTTCTTCTCAAGATCAAGAACGCCAACCGCAAGCGAAGCAGTCATTGCGACACTACAAAGTTACATAGACTTGAGGCAGGAGAGCCTCTGATGATAGGCCTCGGAAGAAGGGAGACTCCGGACGAAAAAATAGAGGGAAGGGGGGGGAAGATACCCTGATCGTGCATGAACACAACCCATCTAATCCCATCTCAACTCAAAGTATGCCTCCACCGTCTGAGGATGCCTGGTGGCGGGGAAGTTGAGCCACTAAAAGTTTAAATTCTACCTATACAACATGAAACTGAGACGTTTACCCTCCCCCCCTCGGCGGTGTAAATCCGGCTGATGCAGGGCAACCCGAGACGAGAGACTCATTCCAGAAACGGGCAATGCCGTAAATAGCGGGCCTCCCTCCCCCAGGCGACCTTCGGACTTTGTCAGAGAGCTGAGGCACGTAGTCATCCGGCGGTGGTTTCTAGGGTATCCTCCCATCTTCGAGATCTACCTCCCATCTTCGAGACTACGGATACAGAATCGGAACAATGTTCTAGTGTCCCCGTCAGACATGGGCACAGACGGAAAAGTCTGTGGATATGGTCTTTTTCTGAATCCATCGTTGGCGTTCCTCGTTCGGTGGGGGTGAGCAGACCCCTGTCGCGCGGAACTCTCATCGAACCAGTAAGACGCGCCGTTTGTGAGTAGCGACTACCTGATGCGGCAATGGCCACGGGAGAGCCTGAGAGAACGCCAACCTCATTGATCGACAGCATCTACGTTCATCCCGCGTCTCTTTGTTAAACGGACGAGAATGGGTGCGATGTAGTATCCAGAACATCCATCATTTTTCTTTTATGATCTTCGCTAAGGGCGTAGTGCGGTTGAGGTATCCGTGGGAAGATCTCGAACAGGTCCATCTCCCCCGTACACGCGAAATCCGGATTCGCAGACGATGGTATATGCATGCCTACGACAGCGTTGTCCGATCAGAACGATGGACCAAGAAGACACAGGCAAGTGAGAGCTGGAGGCTGACGAAGCGTACACGTTTTGACGTTCAAAGTCTAAATGCCAAAACATCAGACCAGTCAGTCACAAAAAAAACTCCGTCGGAAAAAGGCAACACAACTATCAGACGACTCAATGATACTAAAATAAGAGAATTACCATCCCAGCCCCTGCTGTTTTCTTCATTACAGATTTTTCCTCCTCTCTTTGGGCGTGCGTGCAAGGCGTCTGGTTTCCCATGCGTCAGGAACGAGGCCTACCACGCGGCATCTTGACTCGAACCCTGATCTTCTAGGATGCCTTGAAACGAGACCTACGCGCGCGCCAAGTCATGTCAATCAACTCACTTCACCTGAATCTTGGGACAAGCTTCGCCTGCCTCACAAGACGAGCAGGATACCCAGATACCAAGACGCCCGGAGACTTTTCGAAGTCCCTCTCCAAGGTACCCTTCAGAAGGTGGTACTATTGACTCGTGACACTCGCGATGCCTTCCGAACAGGTCGGACTTTCCATCATGCGCGGTTCATCTCAAACAACGGGGTCAATGATGATCTACCGACTCGTTGTTGAATACGTCCCATCCAAAGCATACAGACAACCCCAGTACTCCGGATCTCCCTCTCAGACGGTAAGCCAGCACGACATCAGACCAGACCAGACCAGACGGGCCCCAAACGAGCGGGACCGGTTCACCCAGCACTCTGGATTCGGTTCTCGCCTAAGGATTGTCAAACGTTCTCACCCTTTTGAGGTTGGATGCGTGGGTGCCTCCCATGAGACAATGCGAGTCGATCGCAAACCACGCGTGGGTGGTGGATCGAGGCAGAGTGATATATATGTCGCCGTCAATCCCTCGAATTTCATCCTCCCAGCTATCAACTTCCAGCATCACCTCTACACAACATAATCAAACTACATAATCACGCCGTCTTCATCAATCCCAACGTAGTCTATCAAACTCACAAACCCATAAACAAAACAAACCCCGTACGACACCTTCCACAACCAAGATGCGCGCCTCATCGGTCCTCGTGGCTCTCTTCGCTACCCTCGCTGTCGCCGTCCCAAGCAACCTCGACTCCGTCAACCTCCCCTCCCTCCTCGAGACCCGCCAATGCGCAAAGGCGGGAACGTGTTCCAAGGGCGGCGACAAGGGCGAGAGCTGCTCGGCGCTAAAGTGCTGCAGCAATTCCAAGTCTGGTCGTGGCGGACAGGTACTGTTTCTCACCCCTCTACCACTCTTTGAGCGTCCTATTTACCGCCTCTTGTCTGTCGTAATATTTTTGAAGTAGAAGTCATACTCTAATACCCTCGTTACTTATTAGGTCTGCTGCTGCAACTGAGAACTAAGGATACCACACATCAGGAGATTTAAGAAGAAAAGCATATGGAACACGTAGTTGGGCTTGTAGTTTCAAAATCAAGTTTATTTCGATGGAATCTCCTACTTTATCGCATCTATTGACTGCTTGAGTGGTCTACCAGGGACGAAATCCCAGACGATCAAGACATCTCTCTCATGGACATTGAGGCCGAGGCCGCGGCCGAGGAGGAGGAGAATGATGATGAAGCCGACGAAGACGACTATGATTACGGCGATGACGATGACGACAGCATGTATGAGGATGCATCGGACAGCTCGAGCGACGATGATGAGGAAGACACAGAAGACTTCCAAAACGAGGTAGATTTTCGACCGCCCTCGACTTAAGCTTTTCAGGCAAGCAGCCATGCTTTTCTTCCACCTTCCAAGGTTCCTAGTCGATACACCTCTTTTTTCTTCCATCCTCCGAGGACACCAACCAGCACCCATATTTTCCACCCTTCAAGGTCATCACTCAGCGTTGATAAACATTGTTCTGATCCGCCGAGTCGCACCTTTCTCCCTCTACCGCCCTCCGACTCGGCTTGGACTTGCCGTTATAAAGTCAGTGTCTGTCGCATGAGGTAAATAACTGGTAATCGCCCACTTTACTTTCTGCATATCCTCTTCGCAGGACACTCTTGATTCTCCACCTAGCATCTTCAAATTTTCAGCTGACATTATCACTTCTCTAGGCACGCACATTTACACAAGGCGTCGTTCATCGCACATCATGGCCTCTTCCGACGCTAGTCGCAGTGTGCCCATCGCGCAATATCAGGCAACGACGCAGCTTACCCTGTTTCCTCACTCGCCGCCAGACCCGTATGGTCATAACATATACAAATTTCCAGAGGGTCTTAGAGAAAAGAGTATCCTGTCGGAGCGAGAGGCCGGAATGTCCAAAACGGCTCGGTGTTTCGACGACGAGAACCAGCCTTATCTTCTCAATACAGACCAGCACGACAATCCAGACACCAGCTTGCGCATCGAGGTTGTAAGGGTCCTTTCTGGCGGTCACGGTCGCGGCAACCAAGTGGTCTTGGTCAAGATCCTTCACATGCCCAGATGCGATCCCAAGTTTCCTCTTCCCGACAAGGAAGAAGTCGCAGTCGCCAAGATCTTTGACCCCTTGTTCTATAGCACTTCATTCCCCGAGGATCTGCCCTTTTGGAAAGATACATCCAGAGCCGACATGAGACTGAGTCGCGAGGCTGGCGCGTACAAGGAACTGCACGAGAACGACCTGACTGGCTATCCGCATCTCGCCCCTCAGTACTACGGCTGTTGGACGACCTGTCTTACGAGCTACTCTCCAGACTGCGAGGGAAAGACGCGACATGTTGGCCTTGTACTCCTGGAGTACATCGAGGGAAGCAGCATTCAAGCTATATGCCGCCACGACGACGATGACGTCCTAATCCCCCCCACACAACGAACCTACTTGGTCCCGAACGGCCCTGATTCGATTCATTTTGACCTTGAGAAACGCTTGGACATTCTAGCTCAACTTATCGAGGGAACCATCAAACAGATATACAAAGGGGTCTGGCATGACTACGTTGAGCCAGAGAACGTACTCATCTCCATGCGGAACAAATCAACCCTCCTTGAGACGCAAAGAGTCTGTCTCATCTCCTACGATATCTGTTCGATCGATTTCAAACTCAGGGATCCCGTCGACAGATGGTCGCGGTTTCCTCACCCTCCGCATCCTACCAAATGCTTCGATCTTGACCGATTTCATAGTTTTGGTGGCTGGTGGCCTCTCGATTGGGAAAATGGCAAAGGAGATGAGCACTTCGAAAATTGGCTGCTTGAACGCTTCGGAGAACATGACTCCGATAGGTACTCCTGCAATATGTTGTACTCAAGAGAATGGCTGAAGCGGGAGAGAGAAATCGCTAGAAAGAAGGCGAGAATCAAGAAGAAGAGAGAGATGGAGAAGGAGAAGAAGAGAGCGAGGAGGTCGAAGGCGAAGGAGAGGAGGGCTGCGAAGAAGGCTGCCGCAGAGAAGACAGCGGCGGAGAGAGATACCATCACAGGACTGAGCTCGTCGGCCGCCGCCCTACGAATCACTTACACAGAGACCGCAGGCATTGCCTTCATAAAATCTTTGATGGCAGCCTGGAAGGAAGGATTGAAAGCGGACAAAGTCGGCCAAGGACACGAGGGCGAGGATCCTCGAGGAGATTCAGTCGCGCAACCAAGCTCGTTGACTGAGACCCAGAGCCCCTCAGTGTCTCTGGAAGCAGATGCGGAAGCAGCTGAAGCAGAGGAGGCCAGCCAGGAACACAAGGGTGATGGCTCTTAGGAAGAGTTGGTCACTCGCGCAAGTTCATCCACTGAGGCTCCGAGCCCCCGAATGTCATTGAAATCTAGCGCGGAAGCAGTGTCAGAGGAAATCACATGGATTCATGGCAAGGACGAGGATCCTCAGAGAGAGTCAAGTGTGCAGCCAAGCTCATTGAGAGGATCCCGGAGACGCCCAATGTCGGCGGCGCAGTTGAAAGCCAAGGTCAGGATGCCTGAGGCTTTCCAGAGAGAACGCGACGCGCTGAGCCGTCAAGCTCGTGCTTCTGATCCTGAGTCTCATGAGTAATTATCTTCCGGGTGGAGCGTCTAGTTATAGGTATTGAAGCAAACTATGATAGGGCAGAAGACTCATCAGTGTTATGTTGTGTTCGAACTATGATCTCAGAGTGTGTTTGATAAACTATAACCTCCCTGCTTGGAAACGAGGGTACGCACGACAGAGGTCAGTTGGGCTCCGCTCTTTAGGGGTCACTCTGCCAATCGTAGCCTCGTGGCGTATGTATAGATCCAACCGAATGCGAACAGGCCCTGCCTTTCCACTTTGATTTACTTCAGTGATGTAGCAAGGTATATCTGCTATGTGAATGCCCCTCATTGCTTGTTGAAGCTTCGAGGTGCGTTGGTAATCAACTGGAGTGAGAAGACTCTTCAATCCGGTGAAGGGAAGTTCCAAGTCTCCTAGGACCCAGAGTCTCTGCTGGAATTGCTCCCCGTTCTACTTGAGGGGATGGGCTGCACGTATGGAAAAGACTGCCTTGGAAGTTATTGAGTGATTCCAAGTGTTTCCTTTCATAATAAAGTATAAAAGGCATGGTCACTGATAATCATCGGCTTTTATGTGTTTCTGTAGTTGTTCGGGAAACCTTGTAGGTGAGCTTTTCCGCTTCAACCGTCTAACCTCACAAACAATATTGACACATCTTGGGTTTCCTGATGCTGAACGTATATGACCCATAAGCAGCAAAATGAACTGGGATCTAAAAACCTCCACGACATTGAACTTTGTTCCAATGTGCTTCAGATGGCGTCGAAGTCCACGAAAGGTGTTTCCAGATCCACCTAGCATCCCACCAGTCACGTCGCCCACCATTCTTACTCTCCTTTGCCGTAGGGAACTTTTATCCAATCCGATATGGTGTAGTGGCCAACATGATGCCCTCTCATCTCAATGAGTGGTTAGGCATAGCCCCGAGTTCGATTCTCGGTTTCGGAATGTTTTGCTTTTGCTATGTTGGCGATGTGTTCACTCACTTTGGCTACCTAGTTTTAGGGACTGACACGTCATGGCCAAGGATTCGATGAATGATACACTGGTAGATAGCACTGCACACCTCACCTAGTACCTACCCATCCAAGGTGAAGGTGCCTTTTGTGTTCATGAAACAGCCTCCGTAAGACTAACTATAGAACAATGATGAGCTCGAAAAGTAGTTTCATATGGACTAAGCTTGATTCTATAAATTGATTCCCGAGCATTCTGAAAAATCATTTGAGGCGCACAAACCTTGAACCAAGATAAGTAGAACTGACCATGTCTCTAACATCAATCAACATGTAGTTGATCAAAATGCGAGGCTCATGACGGCGACAGGATGACCTTCATTTAGAGTCAGCTTTGCTAAGAGGTCCAGTCCAACACAGTGCCAACCACTCTTGACACTGCCAAAGGAGCCCCACCACACCCAGACGCAGCGGAAAATAGCACAATGACTCTACTGACTTCAAGTGAGGCCCTCACTTACATGAACATAACAACCAAGCATCCGTCTCTCATACAACATTTACACATAAGAGCATACACAAATTAAAAAATGGCGACGAGGATACCGCACCTGCTGGAGAGCTACCTCGCCCTCCCGTCCGAGTACGCTCAGATCCTCCTCACCAGCGTCCTCGGCGCCAGCACCAACTGGCTCGTCCTGCGGTACCTGTACACGTATCTCAGGAAAGTCAACGCCGCTGGTGAGGAAGGGGCCGGTTCCGCATCGCAGAGCGAGGACGTCCGCGTCGTTCTTGTGAGCTTCATGAGAGATTTTGCGTTTTGGAGGGAAGGCGCTGGGAGATTGGTATGTTTGCTTGCTACTTGACGTGAAATGCCCCTCACTGGAAATTTCAACCCCTCCATCGATGAGATTTTCAATGATATTTTTCACTACACCACTCATTTTTCTTGCCTGCACCCAACACGATTGGAATCTAATTGGAAAAAATGCTAATCATGCACCACAGGGCCTCGATCTAGAAGGACTGGGAAGAAGCGGCAAATTCGTCTTCGTGGACGGGCTGAGTGGGCTGTTTTCCTCCCCTCATCAGGCGCCGCCGCCGACGACGCCCAAGGGTCGGAGGACCATCCGTGGGGCAAGGCTGGCTGATAGCCAGCGCGAGCTCGACGGCGCGATATTCGATGTGTCCGCGGCGGATGCGAAGACGGTTCTGATTGTGGACCAGCCGGACCTCTTGCTCGCTGCGTCTGGCGAGGACCTCACGGGTCTTGCGTTGAGGGATATGTTGCTTGGTGTGCAAGAGGTACGTACGCTTACTAACCTAGTTTCTGGCTCGTTTTCTTCTCTCCCTGAAGGTATCGTTTGCAACTTTTGTGTGCAAGTTATTTTGCATCAACGATGAGATATCCTTCCCACCTTTCTTTTTATCATTATCAAATCA